TCATCATCGTCATCGTCATCATCATCCTCAGCAACGTCCGAGTCCCACTCCTCCTCCTCCTGGCTCTCGCCCCCACTCGCCTCACCCTCCTCAGTCGGAGCCTGTGCTCCATTGGGCATCGAGTACAGCTCGGTGAGGGCCTGATAGACGTCAAGACAAGGATCAATCGACCAATTGGCAGAATAAACAGAAATGAATATGACAAGGACACAGTGGAGAGCAGAGCAGGCATACCTTGTTTGGATCACTGTTGTGGTCAAGTGGAGGAATCCTTCTGGCTCCGCGTGGGTTATCCTTGTTTCCGGTAAGGCGGCCATCCATCTTTCCAGAGTGACATCGTCGACTGCTTCTGGATGGACTCGAGTCTCGTCCTCAGTCCCACAGTACAACCACATGCAGTGGCTCCGGAACTGAAGGGGCTGGATACGACGCCTAAGGAAAACCTCCAGGAGATCCATGCCCGTCACTCCCTCCCGAACCAACTGTACCACGCGCTCCATCAACATCTTCACGTCAGCTTTCTCCTCCGGAATCAACTTCAGAGAAGAGGGCTTGTTCACTCGGTCCATGGTAAACTGAGGGAGTCCACTCGACTGCCCCGGCGTCGACTGATCCTGGCAGTAGAACCAGGTCGACTGCCAGCCTCTGACTGACTCGGGAAAAGTCATGGCTGGGAAGGTGCTCTTATTCCTCACCTGGATCCCCAGGCCCCCACACATTTGGACGACTCGGGTTCTTTCGTCGCCTGGGCTCGCCTTCTTCACGGTCTGAGAGCGACACGTGAATATATGCTTGAACAAGCCCCAGTGCGGTCGACAGCCCAGAAAACCCTCACACATGGACACGAACGCGGCAAGATAGGCGATAGAATTTGGGGTAAAGTGGTGGAGCTGCGCTCCAAAGAAGTTCAAGAAACCACGGAAGAAAATACTCGGCGGCAAAGAAAATCCACGATCGACATGGGTGGCCAAGAGCACGCACTCGCCCTCTTCTGGCTGGGGCTGCCACTCCTTCCCCGGAAGCCTCGCAGCTCCATGGGGGATCAGGCCCTCATTGGCCATGTCGAGGAGATCTTTCTCCGTGATGGTCGACTGGATCCAATCTCCTTGGACCCAGCCCTTCGGCAGGCGGGATCTAGACGAAGACCCGCCGCGGCTGGTGGATCTCCCCTTCGCCTTCTCTGTCGCCGACGCCTTCTTCGCGCGTTCCAGCGCTGCCGTCTTCTCCTTGGCCATGGTTGCTGGTGAGACGCGCGAGGAGAGGTTGGACGGAGGCGAGAGCGAGCGCGTCGGGCGGAGACGAAGGGAGCAGAGAAAGAGAATGCTGAGGCACTGTACAAAAAAACCCCTCGCCGGGCGCATTTATAAGGTTCCTTCCGAGTGGATGACAGGTGGGCCCGGTCGATCTAATCATATCCAGGAACAGTTATGTAGGCGGGATACGTGGCGAAGAAAGCGGCGCGGGGATCGAGGCGTCTATGTCCCGTCCCATCCGAACGCCGTGGTCCGCTCCGCTTCGCGCGCTTCCCCAAATTTCGCATCCCGCGGAATCCGCGAACGGCAGACCAGTCTGTCAGACGCGGGATTTCTTGCGATCCGTCGCTCGGAAATCGTCAAAGCCCGAAAGATCACTCGACGAAAGAAGAGAATGGATCGAGTCGACTGAAGACAAGTTGCTCACTACCAACGAAGAGATTCTTTGGTCCAGAACAACGCACGACCAGTGTGCAAAAGTTAATCGGAAACAACATCAACTCCTTCCTCACTCAAAGCCTCAATCCATTCGGGGGCTAATGATGGGGTCATGTACCTAGGGTAGGGTCACTGACCTGATCTAAGTACCCTGCCCAAAGACACCCTTAGAAGAGGTCACCTTCCAGTCGACCAACGAGGGACTCACTCGACTGACTTGAAGGACTCGACCACGAAGACTCACTCGACCACCAGAAGGTCAAGAGGCACTCTGCACTGCAACGGCCTGTAATTAAGTAGACTTTATGATAATAAAGACACTTTATGTGGGGCGTTACCAGTAACGCCCCAGACTTAACTCACCTTAAACCCTCTCCTACGTGGGCTGACTGGGGTCCTGGCGCACTCTATATAAGCCACCCCCCTCCACAGGTAGAGGGGTTCGGCACCTTGTAACTCATATACAGATAATCCACTCGACCGCCTCTGGGCTCCGAGACGTAGGGCTTTTACTTCTTCCGAGAAGGGCCTGAACTCGTACATCCCTTGTGTTTACAACCTCTCCATAGCTAGGACCTTGCCTCTCCATACCTACCCCCCACTCTACTGTCAGGCTTAGAACCACGACACCCGCTTAATCTAATCTTAAACCTCCACGTTAGCAGCTTCATGAAGCCCTAAAAAAACACCCCCTACACGTAGTCCTGTCCATGGGCCACCCGGCCCGACCCGGCCCGACGCTGCTCCTGAGCCGGGCCTAGGCCTAGGTTTTGAGCCCGAAGACTAGGTCGTGCCGGGTCTAGGCCTGCTATTTTTGCTATTTACTGAAGAGGCCCGACCCGAGGCCTGAGGCCCGGTGTTTTTTGCTGTGACGGGCCAGGCTCGGGCCTGAAAAGTAGGCCCGAAGGCCGGGCTGGGCCAGGCTTGGGCCTGAGTTTTCTACCTCAGGTTTGGTCAGGCCCGGCCCGACCCAAAAGATGGCCAGGTCACAGGTATGGGTATATCGTAACGGAGATCACAGATGGGGTAAATTGATGGCATGGGATTGGTTACGGAATGGGCCGCACTAGCGAATTCATGGGGCGGTGGAGATTATTACGATGGAATACGTCTCAGCCCCGTAACCATCATATAATTACGCGTAACAGAAAACTACCATTGTTCAGTCAACTTAACTGTCACTTTCAGGACAGGATGATGACATATAGCACTAACTCGCGGTCAACCATGTTTTAAGACTAGTCATAGTGACGCTTGTTGATGCTACAGCCCATGAGCAAACCAGATGGATTGACATGAATGATAATGACGACGTTGATACACAAGAAGGTGATGTCCCTTTCGAGCAAAGTGATGCCTTATGCTTCGGCCTTGATGATGTTAAGGCACAACCTTTCATTCTGTGTGGGACGATGCCGGGGAATGTGTCGAGGCGGTGAACAACAAGACAACTAACCACATTTGCTTTTGCCCTCCATGAGATGAGCTAGTGCATTGGACCGATGGATAATAGAACTGAGTTGGCTAGATGCTTGGGCGCTCTATCTGTAGGAGTGGACATGAACGGTGACATCCAGCGGCGGAGCTATGTAGAACGCTGAGGGGGGCGTGCCCCCCTCCCCCCTTCCCCCTAGCCCAAGTGATTTTTTCTTACTAGGTAGTAGTAATGACCCATTATCTACACGGACGCATAAGCCTATGACGCACGCTGCACGCACAATTTAGGCTCGCACACATCTCCCCGCCTCCATCCACGAACTAGACGTCATGCCGCCGCACTCGAGGGATGCGTCGACGCCCAACACTGCCGACGCCGACTAGAAGCTCGTCCTAATCCGTGCGCGTCGCCGGCGAACATCCCGGCGCGGAGGAGGGACGAATAAGGGCGCGCCTCAACCCTCTGACCGTCGTCTTCTGCTCTTCGCCGCTGGCCTCGCCGGCTCGCCGCTCCGGTGGTCATCCATGTTGGTCGTCCAGCTGGCTACCCGTCATCATCGGACGCCCCTCCCCATACGAATTTGTAAGTGCCATGTGCCGCTGTGCGGCTGCGCCCACCTTAAACTGTTGGAATTTGGATCCCGGGTGTGCACCGTTGCTAATCATACATGTATTTTGGATCCATACGGATAATATAAGTATAAATTTGTTTGAAGGCTACAAGTTCTAGTTTGTTGTGATTGGCTACATTTTTTTTGGGTCATTGCCACCCCGCATAGATTCTTGTCAAGCTTCGCCACCGGTGACATCCCTTATCAGCAAGCTTATGGATCCTAGCTTATAGAACCAATAAAGTAGGTCAGGAGCACCAAAGATATTTGTTTGGTGATCTTAGCCTCGTTGATGAGGGCAGTTGATGGCGGGGAGACTAAAGAATTTGGACCATTGCCATTTTCATCCGGAAGATATAAAAAGTCACGTGTATACCCCAACCTGAAGTTTAGAGACTTGCTTGAATGTCAAATGTGATTGTGGGAGTGCTCTATGAAGCACCATCAACCTTACTTGCGAAGCACTCGGACACAAAGCAGCGTTACACGTGGAGTTTGAGAAAGATGGTGCCCATGGTTTGTTCATGTAAGAATTTGTAGTGGTGGGCAATGGAAGATAACAAGTTGCCAAGTACTTCCTCTATTCTAAAATAAGTGACTCGACTTTGTACTAACTTTGTACTAAAGTCAGTAAAAGTTGAGTCACTTATTTTGGGAAGGATGGAGTATATCACTTTTGCTGGGGCTCAACGGCCTCAAACAAGCAGTATCGGCCGACCTATGCTTTCGTCGCCCATGAATGCGCAAACACTACAAAGCGCTTGATAGAGGTCATACAAATGGGATGTGTGCATGGAATGAAGTACAAGAGCGCATGGAAGGCCAAACAAGCTGCGTTTGAAATGGTGCATGGTGAAGGGGAAGAAGCATACAATCGCCTCCCTAAATTGTTGGGAGCGATGGCCGCAAGAAACCCGGGCATGTATTATGTGGTACCCGAAGCCACAACTTACGAAGGTTACAATGCTAGCATATGGTATCACAAGAGAACGTTGATCATGCATTCTGTCAGTAAGCTCGTCGGCTACACCATCATACATTTGCACTTTATTACCAGAGCACACTACATTATTTTCCATGAAGCATCCACTGATATTGGCAAGAAGAGAGTGTAAAATCGTAATAAAAAATCACTTTTATTAACAAAAAGCAGAAAATGCTCTCATCCAATCACAATAAGAGAGCATGAATAAGTATCCTTGTGTGGTCAAACGTGACAAGACGCACTGTCACAAGGCTGGAGTTGACAGTAAAAAACAGGTCAATTTTGAACAGTGGAGAGGAAGTTAGGCGCCATGATCTCGAGCAGCCCCTTGGGGTTGTCCACATGAACCCAATGGCCGGAGTTAGGGAGAACGTGGAGCGACACTTTGCCCGCGTCAGGTTTGCTGCCTCTCCTTGACAGTGCTTTTAGCCTCTGGACATCCTCAGGGTGCCATCTATCACTGAGCTCTGCCTGTACTATCGAGATCTCCAAACCCTTTGGTGGGTTCTCCAGCAGTCCCCAGTAGCTTCTATCTCTGAAAATTAACAGTAACTTAACTCAGTTTGCATACACCAAAGCGTTGAACATGTTTGGATGATATACAGGGTTACACGACAGCTAGTTCACCAACTGATTGAAGATACCAACAAAGCCAAAGAATCAGATAAGGGGAGGTGGAGGAGAAGTAAAAGAAAAACTGCTTGTTACCTGTAAGAATTAAACATGTCTGTGGCAGCCTGAAGATCAAAAGCCCAGGTCACATGTTCATTGTCCTTCTTCAAGTTGCTGCCAATCCAGTCTGAAAGTGACTTGGAGAATCCCAGGCTGACCATGTGGTCCACAACCCACCTGATAGCAAACAGGCATAACATTAAGAATCTGAACAGAAGTGAATCATTTAGTAGTTCATGTTAAATATCTTGGAAGGGCCAAAATGTGAGCTCTCCTTCAAGGCTTCAAGAGTAAGTGCAAGAACAAGGCAGGCATCAACCAATTTATAATAAGAGGCATATGCGTCCTACTCACCTAGAATCAATTTTACATAATTACAGGATAAGGACAAATACTTGATGTTACTCACCCTGAGCATTAAAGTAACCAAGCGAGTTGACATTTGAAATGCACGGTGTGTTTAAGGTTATTTCAGTGCTTTGAGTCAAATACGATACTCTGTTTAAAAAATTAGCTACAAAAATGTATGCAAAATTGCCAAAGATTTAGCAAAATTTTGATTCCATGCACACCCTTCTGTCGCATGGTTATACACACTATAGCCTAGAATTTACATATAACTAGAATTATCAATATAACGAATTATCTTGTTCTGTCATTCCATCTTTCGGTGTTGCTATTAGCCTTTGCGTCATGTACTCATACAGCACACTGCTTGCACATGAACCTTTTCAGTGCGATGGGCCGCTGCATTAATGTTTGGTCAACTGATGTGTGCACTAGTTTGTTTGCTGAAGACACTGCTAATGCCCACTATTCGATAAAATGAACAGATTGAATCATACACTTTAAATTAATATTTCGAATAGATTAGGAAGCAGAGGAATATAGGGAATGTAAGAGAATTACTTGCGCGATGGAAGCGATGAAGGAAGACTTGCTAGTGTTTCCAAAACCCGTTCAACTTCGCCATCACTGTTATCTATTTTTACTTCTCCAGGGACAGAATCAAGCACCCAGAGCTGTTCTGCATCAAAGGAAATAAATGACATATGTGATACACCTTCTTTATCCCCTTGACCCAGTGATGTTCAGTTCAGTAAGCGTGACCAAACAGAATAATCAGGGGATAAAGACGATGCCAAGAAATTAACTACAAGGTACAAGAAGCAATACATTGTCATTCTGCCAACAGAATCACAACAAATTCTCCAAAGGTTGTACTGCGATGCTATATTAAAGTCTCTTACACAACTCAAAGTATACTTTACTCTGTGACACATAGTGAACTAAATGATTCTTGTTTCCTTCGTGTCACCTTTTCATATGTAACAGTAGGATTTTCTAGATCAACACTGCATATACCTATGTAAATAAGTATGTATACACTGCACCTACTGTAAGTTGCAAAATCAGACAATTTATTCATAAGAACAATAATAAAACAATAGGCAAACAGAAGAACTATGTTAGAACCAATCACGTGGAAGCTAAAAATAACTCACTGAACCTGTTTGGGAAGAGCAGCAGATTCTCCGTAATCGCCACGGGAGCAACTCTCTGTGAAATCCAGTGCGACCTTTCCACCCATTGAGTGACCCACGACAACATCCGGCCATGTCCAGCCCCGAGCCTTCACCAAATCAGCAAGATCCTTGGCGGCACTCGACATATCATGGGGCGGGCTCAGCCCTTTGATCCTGGCTGAGCTCCCATGGTTCCTCAAATCCACAAGAACCATCTTCCACTCTACAAACACAAACACACACGCATACAAATCACAAAACTCAGGTCTCTAAACAAACCCCCGGCCTGTGACTCTAAGCAAGCGCCGAGCTATGTAAGCCGGGCACATTGACAATTCTCCAACGTTCATGGATACCACAATCATCAGTAGCAGTGCTAACTGTTAAGAGATACACGCATTTAGTGAAGGGGGTATTGGGCGGCAGTTACCGTCGGCGGGGGAGCGGTCACGGAGCTGGGAGGCGAGGGTGCGGGAGAAGGTGCGCCAGTTGCGGCCGGAGCCCAGGAGGCCGTGGAGGACGAAGGCGGTGGCGGTGGGGGGCTTCTCAGGGGAGAGCTGGATCTCGTGGAAGGCGAGGGTTTCGGTCTGGTGGGCGGCGTCCGAGTGGACGGAGGAGGAGAGGAGCAGGCGCCAGGGAGACCAGGCGGCGGGGGAGGAGAGGAGGCGCGAGCGGAGGGGGGAGGAGGACGCTCGGAGAGACGCCGCCATGGCCGATCGCCGCGGGAGTTCTCGCCGGACGACGCGGCGATGGGGTAATGGCTGCCGAGCCGAAGAGTACAGAACGAAGAGAAAAAAAAATAAGCTGAAAAAAGGTACAGAAAAATATGACAGCTGTGGGATTTGAACCCACGCCCTTTCGGACCAGAGCCTAAATCTGGCGCCTTAGACCACTCGGCCAAACTGTCCTATTGTACGTACCGAGCTCGAAATTTATTAGGCCATAAAGTGGACGAGGAATTAGGATGGCAGTCCAAACTCAATGAAGGGCTTCAATTCCATTTTCATATATGGACGACCGCACGGTATATGTGTCTAGAAGTATCATTTCATCGACTAGCATGGTAATGGCAGAATCTATGAAGGGCTTCAGTTCCATTTTCAGAGATGGACGACCGCACGGTATACGTGTCTAGAAGTATCATTTCATCGACTAGCACGGCAGTGGCAGAGCTTGGCCCAAATAGTTGGGCGGGCCGGCTGATAGAAATAGCTATTGAGCTTGTGTTTTATGGTCCAAAAATAGATATGCCTCAAAGAAAATCTCATAGGCTGGGCAGGGTCAAGGCCGTTTGGCTTTGTTGTAGCACCGCCGCATGGGTCGGCCCAACGGATGGAAGACAGAAAAGGAGAAGCTCAAAGGAGAAAGAGAGGTGGAGGCGATGAAAAACAATATCAATGAGTTGAAGAGGGCAAGAAACGAGTATACCAATGGCTCGAGAATTACATTCATGATTGCTACAATGGAGTCATCTAGATATGGAGGAGAAGAAGAATGAATAGAAGAAGGCGAGACGGGGGGAGGGGGTAGGCTCCACATTAAGGCTGATCGGGCGACAGATATCCGCCTGAACGCCCAGAAATAGTTCATCACGATGGATCCAATGGCTCGAGAATTTTGGGCGAGGCCGTGGGATATTACCATACGTTTCAGGAACCTCGAACTAGGGAAAAATACACATGCCGAAGGAGGAAAGAATGGCGCAGACATCGGCGGAGTGGATGGTGCACACAACGGCAACATGTGATTTGTGCATGTCACTGGTTAATGCTTTTGTTTGTGCAAATTGTCAAAAAATATATTCATAATTGCTTGGTGTGCCAAACGTTTACTTCTGGACGGAATCTAAGTGTTTGAATAAAAAAACAAGAAAACAAATCATGGAGGTTGAGATATGACGACTCTGTGTTTCCACGTCACCTCGACAACCTTCATATTCGTATGGAGCACACTTCATATGGCGGATGGTGATCACAGATATAGAGACTCTGCTAGAGTTGCTCTAAGGTATGCAAGCTTCGAAAATCCATTCATGGATTAAAGCAAGCTTCGAAAATCCATTCATGGATTAAAGTAAGCATCTTAGAGTTGGAACATTTGTTTTGATGAGGCGGTCAAAGGATTTCACTTCATCAAGAACGAAAATGAACCTTGTGTTTATAAGAAATTTAGTGGGAGCTTAGTCGTGTTTCTAATCATATATTTTCGGAAAAAGAGGATAATCCTCTGCATCGAGTTATGCACATAATCATATACTCTCTTTGTTTTATAATGTAGTGCATATAGGTTTTTTGAGACGTTAAGCTCAACAAACTTTGACCAGATTTAAGGAGAAAATTGTTTATTTCTGAAATATCAAATATATACAATATGAATTTTTAATTCACGATGTATCTGATGATATGCATTTGCTAATAGAAATGTGAATATTTTTCTCTCTAAACATGGTCAAAGTTCGCAAAGTTTGACTTTAAAAAAACTGTACATTATGAAACAGAGGGAGTATTATATATCATTCAAAATCCATTAGCCGAACAACATTGACCCATAAAAAATGAGGTCGCATGCCTCACGATAGTAACTGCACCAAATAGCCACTTCCCCTATGATAAAAGACAAAACCAAAACAAAAAATACACAGCTCCTTACTAAGCCTTTAAAATGAAATCTCCACATGTGCACCGATGATGACGAGTCCAACCCAAGGTCGATCTTGAGGTTTTCATCCCCAAAGCCAAGCTTCGATCCACCATCTTCAGCAAGGGCACGACGTAGATCTAGTGTTTTCCACCGGAGTGTGCATGTTCTTCGTCGAATTCGCCTCTACCATCAACCCTTGTCTGTCTACCGTTACCTCACTAGTCGGATACCACAGGAGGAGAAACCGGAAGAGAAAGGCGTCCTATACCGCCTAGCCTCTAGAAAACCTCCTCTAATGTTATAAAACTACAGGCAGTTACAGAAACACAACCGCCTTCAAATTTTCTACAGTCAGTTTCGAATTGCTAACCACCTCTGGATCTTTCCGTACCAAGAATAACCGCCTCCAGTGGGTATTATCAGTGACCACAATCTGCTTGGCCAGATCCACTTTCAGGAGCCGCTTGTAATGCCTCATTTTTCTACTAGTGCGCTGATAGGACTACGAGCCTAGTGGTAAACCCGTGATCTATACCCACATCATGTTCTTGGCTCGTGCAGTAGATTTTCTTTTTGTTTTGAGATAGTGTATCGTACTGCGTTGTCCAACAGGCTAGACCGCCACCATTGTTGTCGCGATGAGAGGCACATCACCTTCTGCAAGTTTTAGATCTAGGTTTTGTGGGTTTCACCATCATCTACCTTCTAGCAATTCGCTAGCTTTTTCTTGAAGGCTTGAATGCACATCAGCAGGGCGATGTAAAAGGCATTAATAGTTATATTTGTAGGGGTAACTGGTTTGAATAAGATGATGTCTTGCCCCTTGTCGTGAGAATCACATCAAAACAAATGTATAAATATGTGGTAACAGAAACTAAAAAGAAGTGGAAACAAATGTATGAGAGTTCTCAAACATTTTAAAAGAGTAAAACCTACAATGTATGTGATAAATTATGTATAAAAAGGGAAACACTTTAAATTTAAACTTAATGCGGCATCATCGTGAGAATCACATCAAAACAAATGTATAATATGTGGTAACAGAAACTAAAAAGAAGTGGAAACAAATGTATGAGAGTTCTCAAACATTTTAAAAGAGTAAAACCTACAATGTATGTGATAAATTATGTCTAAAAAGGGAAACACTTTAAATTTAAACTTAATGCGGCATCATCTTTTAATGAAAATGTGAAACACAAATGATATATTTTTCTCAAGTGTGAAACATAAACTATATATTTTTGTCAAGTACTCCCTCTGTTTCTAAATATAAGACGTTTTGAGTGATCCACAATTACTAACTATTTCAACTTCATGTTCCCGAGTTGCAGAGAACAAACCAAACTAAGGCAATCTTTCCGGATTCGCTCCGCCTTACAACCTTGCTTCCCATTGTCATTGTCATTGTAGCACGTGTGTGGCCAGCCCATAAGGGCCGTGCGGACTTGACGTCATCCCCACCTTCCTTCAGTATCTCACTAGCAGTCCCTCATGGATGCGGCACACACCTTTTTCTTTGTTTCGGGGCTTATTTCAACAACCAGTCATAAGCCCCACGGTCCCTTGGCAGTTCAATATAAACTGTCAAAATGTTTTACATTTAGAAAGAGAGCATCATTTGTTGGGTAACGTAGCAATAATTCAAAAAAATTCCTACGTGTCACCAAGATCAATCTAGGATATACTAGCAACGAGAGAGAGGGAGTGCATCTTGTTGGAAATATGCCCTAGAGGCAATAATAAAAGTATTATTATTATATTTCCTTGTTCATGATAATTGTCTTTTATTCATGCTATAACTGTATTATCCGGAAATCGTAATACACGTGTGAATACATAGACCACAATATGTCCCTAGTGAGCCTCTAGTTGACTAGCTCGTTGTGATCAACAGATAGTCATGGTTTCCTGGCTATGGACATTGGATGTCGTTGATAACGGGATCACATCATTAGGAGAATGATGTGATGGACAAGACCCAATCCTAAGACTAGCACAAAAGATCGTGTAGTTCATTTGCTAGAGCTTTGCCAATGTCAAGTATCTCTTCCTTTGACCATGAGATCGTGTAACTCCTGGATACCGTAGGAGTGCTTTGGGTGTATCAAACGTCACAACGTAACTGGGTGGCTATAAAGATGCATTACAGGTATCTCCGAAAGTGTCTGTTGGGTTGGCACGAATCGAGACTGGGATTTGTCACTCCGTGTAAACGGAGAGGTATCTCTGGGCCCACTCGGTAGGACATCATCATATGCGCAATGTGACCAAGGAGTTGATCACGGGATGATGTGTTACGGAACGAGTAAAGTGACTTGCCGGTAACGAGATTGAACAAGGTATCGGTATACCGACGATCGAATCTCGGGCAAGTAACATACCGATAGACAAAGGGAATTGTATACGGGATCGATTGAGTCCTTGACATCGTGGTTCATCCGATGAGATCATCGTGGAACATGTGGGAGCCATCATGGGTATCCAGATCCCGCTGTTGGTTATTGACCGGAGAACGTCTCGGTCATGTCTGCATGTCTCCCGAACCCGTAGGGTCTACACACTTAAGGTTCGATGACGCTAGGGTTATAAAGGAAGCTTGTATGTGGTTACCGAATGTTGTTCGGAGTCCCAGATGAGATCCCGGACGTCACGAGGAGTTCCGGAATGGTCCGGAGGTAAAGATTTATATATAGGAAGTCCTGTTTCGGCCATCGGGACAAGTTTCGGGGTCATCGGTATTGTACCGGGACCACCGGAAGGGTCCCGGGGGCCCACCGGGTGGGGCCACCTGCCCCGGGGGGGCACATGGGCTGTAGGGGGTGCGCCTTGGCCTACATGGGCCAAGGGCACCAGCCCCAAGAGGCCCATGCGCCTGGGGAAACCCTAAAGGAAGAGTCCCAGCAGGGGAAGGCACCTCCTAGGTGCCTTGGGGGGGGAGGACTCCTCCCCTGGCCGCCGCCCCCTTGGAGATTGGATCTCCTAGGGGCTGGCGCACCCCCCCCTTGGGATCCCTATATATAGTGGGGTAGGAGGGCCTCCCAAACACACCTTATGCCTTTGGTGCAGCCCC